CATTTTGGGTCGAGCAGAGTCAGATGGCTATAGGTACCTTCTGAGTAAGGTCAAATGAGGTCGTTATCCGAACGGTCGCTAAAAATAGCAATAGCTAGTATATGTAAAATTAAATAATGTGAAAAAACAAGTACACAGTAATTTAGAAATTAAATAATCAAATTACCAATAAATGAACATAAATAATTAAAGAAAAAATATATCTATAAAGAAGACGAATAATTACAGCGAAACATACTTCGGAATATGCGCAAATATACTATAATAACTTAAAATCATACGATTTAATTCGATAAATTATGCTAGTATTATTACAGTTCCCGATATATTCATGCAAACCGGAAGTAAATACATCACTCTATCGCAAATACGTCGATAACAGGATAGTTATAAATCACAATATTATACATATATAAATAAACTTAAATGTGGAAAGAAAAAAAATTGAGGCTAATACAGGTCATTAAAAAATAAGGTAACGTCATCGTCTGACAGGACCTGACCTGATTTCACTTTAATAACTGTGTGAAGTCGCTCGCACTAGAAAACGAATATAACACTTTATACCTAAAAATACTGAAGTTGATATTCATATAAAATACGAATAAACAAGACGCATGTGGCTTTAAAAATATGTTTACAATAAAAATATTAAGTTAAAATGCTGTTGGCTTGAACAGAAATATTGAAAATAGGTAGAGAGGGAGGGGAGATGGTTGGGGTCGGGTCTAGGAGGAAGGGAGGGGGTTAAGGATAATGAGGAATGTGGGTAGGTGGGAAGCGTTGGAGAACTGTTTGTTTGTGCATAATTCAATCAAATTATTTAAATATTCTAAAATATCCCACAAATGCATAATCAAACCGAGCCTAAATAAATGCACTTAGTAATAATATGCGTCGGTTAACGCAGTGAGAGATAATGAGAAAAAAATGTCGAGAATATGGCAATGCTTAGGACTAGTCACATGACCTAGAATGTCCGTAGAAATAGATTATAATTTAGAGAAAATGTACGATCTATTTCTCCCACATGAATAAAAGATTTAAACCTATAAGCGATTTATGCTAATTAGGCGAGCATGATCGAGTAAGATTTAAGCAACAAAACACGCCAAAGAAAGAAAATGCACTCTCGCAAGTGATGAAAATGGGGATTGATTCTCTAAAAAAAAGCGACGATCTACCATGACGAGAAAAAAAACATGGTAGATAACAAAGAAGGAAAGAAAATGCCCTTTGCACGGACACCTGCTCAGATATTAAAAAAAAAAAAAAAAAATCACTGCACTTGTGGAAAAAACGGCATGCACACATAGGCGAAGAAAAAGGAAAGAAAGGAAATTATTGCCAATGGTGTACTTAGTTTTTCGGAGGCTTGTTGTTCGTGTCATTCCCCCGCTTGCCACCAGTTGTCAGGGTTTTGTGTTTGCCCTGATTTGGTGGGTTTATGGAGACACAATTCTGGTTCAGCTGTTTATTGATAGGAGGGGTAGGTAGCGTGGCACGGGCTGTCTCGTACAGTGCAGTAGTGGGCAAGAGAGCCCAAAGGCGCGCCGAGCAGAGGGCATGCGTGGGGGAGCTCCCCCAAGGAGGAGAGGTCTGGTCAGGGCCGCGGGCCCTGGTCAAGTGTGCTTCAGGTTTCGAGCGCTGGTCGCGGGTCCCTAGCAGTGGAGACGCAGGGAGGTAACCCTTGTTCCTCAGATAAGGGGCCATCTTCAGCACTTGAGACACCCAACGGTATTTGTCCCCATGTGTCGCTAGCTTTGTATCCCTCTTAAAATACGCATACAAATGGCTGGGGGAAACAAGTTCGTGTATCTAGAATGAATTCATGTTTTTTTTTTGTTTTTTTATATATATTTGTCACTCCGGATCCGTATAGATATTTTATGAACATGGCCATGCACTCGTTCACTAGAAATCGAAAGGTCTTTGAGCGTCCCATTGTCCAGGTGGATTGGCAGGCAGAGGTCATGTTAGGTCACAGCAGGTCAAAAAATGCGTTCTCTGTGATGGTTAGTATGGGACTGTGTGCCGGGTAATTGAGTAGTTGAAACCTCTTCGCAAGGTCTCCTAATTTTTCCTTTACTGGTGGGGGAAAAGCAGCTACTAGAAGGGTTTTCACCAATTATGTCATAGCAGATATATGAGTGTCCATGAAGATGGATTTGAAGGGGGAGTTCTATTTAGCTGGAATGGCTGATACTCTTTTGAAATGATTATCAAATCAATGATCTTCAGATGACGACACAGGTTTCATAAGCAAGATTCTAGCAAGTTGGACATGATCTTTGGTGTTGAATCCTCTAAAGGAATGTTGGAGAATGGCCTTGAAGTAAGTCCAGGTGCAAAACTCAGGGGTCAAGGATTTAAAGGCCTCTAACGCATAATGCCCATTCGCGGAAATTAATTCAAGACGCGTCTCCGCCGCATTTACGCATTTGGCTGCGAACGAAGGGTCATCTCTGGACACGACTCCTTGCACGATCATTGACTCTACATCATCAAGGAAGGTGTCGACTGGGATAGAAGTTCCGTCAAACTTTTGCACAATATTGAATGTTNATATGTATATATAGAATTATATATATATATAATATATATATATATATATATATATATATATATATTATATATATATATATATTATATTTATATTATATATATATACATATATATATATATATATATATATATATATATATATAATATATATATAGTGTTGTTTGTGTGTGTGTGTGTGTGTGTGTGTGTGTGTGTGTGTGTGTGTTAGATGTATATATACATATACACACACACACACACACACACACACACACACACACACACATATATATATAGATGTAATATACGTATACATACATATACGCACACACACACCCACACACACACACACTATATATATAGTATATATATATATATATATATTATATATATATATATATATATAAATATATATATATATATATGTATATATATATATAATATGTATATATATGTATATATACATATAATTTTATATATATACATATATATATTTATAAATATACATATATACATACATATATATATGTATATATATATATTGTAGTGGATCCTTATTGGCTTCAGAACCGCCTAGACTGGCCGAGCTAACATCACAGGTCAAGTTCATAAACCGTCGGCCCTGAGGCAGAGTCATCATTTGCATCCCGCTTGTTGGCCTAGCAACATTTGTCCTTGGTTCCTCGTTAAATACCCACTACACTGGTGACCCTCGAAGTGAACCGGGTCTTTAAAAATTGTCAGCCACACACAAGACGCTTCCAATCTGCTCTCTGGCCAGCTAACAGAATGGTTTCTTCTGGTGGAGGAGGAATTCCTCAGGAATATCACTGCCCAGACCACCAAATTCCGCATGCTGGTCACCAACCTCCCACCTGAATTTATGACCGTTGGCAAACTCCTGCACGATCAACAATACGCCAAAAACGACGAGCTGAAGGTGATTCTCAGATGCGCAGCACCTAACACTGACCACGTTAAGCTCCTTCCTCTCCTCCGACACCACAGACAGCCGTACTCCTACAGAAATTCTCCACTACTTCCAGCGCCTCCTCACCCACACTGACATGACCTACCCGCCAGATGGCATGTGCTCCTTCTTCCTCATCTGCTGCCTGCAGATGTCCAGCAAATACTGCTAGTGTCAGATGCTCCATTAGAGCAACTTCCCTTGAAAGCCGATGCAATAATTACAGCTTAGGCACACACCCACAGTAGCAACAGTCTGCCGCAACCCCTACCCCCGTTGCGACGTTGGAATCCCTTGCAGCCCAGGTTGCCGCACTGTCGGAGGCTGTGCAGAAATTGTCCACACGGGAACGTTCACACTCCTGGCCTCACTTCCGCACTCCTTCGCCGCCGCGCAGCGAACGGGACTTCAGGCGCCCTTCAACATCGAGACGCCAGTCCTGCTTCTGCACACCTTCACTGCCATGCAGAAATTGGAACTAAAGACTCTCCCCAATGCCGAGGCGCCACCAAGACGACCCGTGCCGCTTAATAGACACAGTGTTTCCCAGGACCTGCACCTTCAAGGACATCCTGCTGGAATTCCCGGCTTTGACCAAGCCAATTATCCGAGCCACCCAATCACAGCACGAGGTCTGGCACCACATCATGACTCACGGTCCCCTCGCCCACTCTTGCTGCCGTCTGCTCGCCCCGAACAGATGTTGCAGAGCCACGGCGGAATTCGACCACATGATGCAGTTGGTGATCATGCGCCCTTCCAGCAGCCAGTGGGCGACCCCTCTGCATTTGGTGAAGAAGAAAGTTGGTGACTGGCGTCCGTGCGGTGATTACCGGCATCTCAACACGATCACTGCCCCATACAGAAACCCCCTGCCGCATCTGCACTCCTTCTCCCACGAGCTGTCCGGCTGTACGGTCTTTTCGAGAATCGATCTTGTATGGGCTTACCAGCAAATCCCAATTGCTGAAGAGGACATCCCCAAGACGGCCGTACTTACACCTTTTGGCCTCTTTGAATTCCTCAGGATGCCCTTCAGTCTCCGGAACGCCGCTCAGACCTTCCAACGCTTCATCAACGACGTGACTCGCGGACTTGGAGGCGTCTTCGCCTACATCGACGATATCCTCGTCGCCAGGGCCTCAGAAACAGACCACGCCCACCATCTCTGCGCCCTCTTCGGTAGACTGCAAGAAGCGGGCATTGTTATCAACCCGGGAAAATGCCTGTTTGGTGTCACTTCCCTCTCTTTCCTCGGCCATACTGTTACCCCCAAAGGCATCACCCCAACGCAAAAGATTGCCACTATAAGGAAGTTCCCCAAACCAGCGACTGAGAAACAACTGCGAAAATCCCTGGGCATGTTCAACTTTTACAGGAGATTCGTCCCCCCAAGTGCCCAGCTCCAACCCCTTCATGCAATCACACCTAATCACACCTAACTGGGCCAGCAGACACACCAAAATCAAATGGACATACCCAACCAATGAAGCCTACGAAACCTGCAAAGAAGCCCTGCTTAACCACCCCCAACCCAATGCTCCACAGCATAGTGGTCGATGCCTCCAGCACTGCCATTAGTGCTGTCCCCCAGAAACGTCGGGTAAGCAATGGCAAGCTCTTCCTTTCTTTTTGCAGACTGTTGCCACGCGTCTCGGTAAAGTGCCCTGTGTAGGGAACTCCTAGCAGCTTAATCCGTAGTAAGGCATTTTCAGTCATATGTGGAGGCAAAGAATTTCCATATCCTGACTGATCACAAACCCCTCACCTTCGCCTTACACTCGAGGACCCGCCGCCAATCTCCTCGCGAGGAGCGCCACCTGAACTACGTCTCACAATTCACGATGGACATCAGACACATTCGAGGCTCAGACAACGAGGCCGCCGATGCTCTGTCGAGGATAACCATATCTTCAGCGATCCTCGCCGACGATGCAGTAGATTACCACCTGGTCAGCAGAGAACAACGCCAGGACACATCCATGACTCCTCTCATAGAGGGCCAGACTTCCCCTAACCTTGAGAGAGTCAAAATCCTGAACTCCCACGACGACTTTCTCTGTGACGTCCCCCTCGGCTGCCCTCGCCCATACATCCCGCCTTCTATCTGCCGATTCTTCGACGACTACCATCAGCATCGCGGCATCCGGGCCACCCAACACCACATCCGCAGCAAAGTCGTCTGGCCCGCCATCAACAAGGACGTTCGGCAGTGGTGTCGCTCATGCATCGAATGTTAGAGGAACAAGATCCACAGGCACAGCAAATCTCCCCACCAGACTTTTCCCATTCCAGACGAAAGGTTCCAGCATATCCACATAGACATAGTGGGACCCCTGTCCATGGACGACGGCTACAGCTACATCCTGACGATGATCGACCGCTTCACCAGATGGCCCGAGGCTACGCCCGTCCGTGACATCACCACAGCGACAGTCGCCAAGACCTCCCTCAGCACCTGGATCTCTTGCTTGGGCATCCCCAGACACCGTTACTACTGACCGCGGCTCCCAGTTTGAGTCAAAACTCTGATGTCAGCTGATGGTACCACTCATTTCCAAGAGAATCAGGATGACCGCCTACCACCCCTGCGCCAACGGCAAGGTCGAGCGACTCCACTGCCACATGATGCAAAGCGGGGTCGCTGTGTTTTGTATTCTGTTCTGGAATTTGAAAGACAGCTATGACGTTACTTGAAGAAAGAATTGACGGTGCCATGGTTGTAGTCAGAGTGAAAGAGAGACAAGAAGTAAAAATCATTAAGAGGTGAAAAGGATAAAAACATTTTGTAGATGTAGATTCCCCATTCCTCTTTCTCTGTCTGTCTGTCTGTCTGTCTGTCTGCCTCCCTCTCTCTCTCTCTTTACACTTTATATGACCAGATATGAGTGTATAGACATGCATATAAAGATAAAGGAAGTTTTTAACGGCATCCCATCTAAAAACTTAGGTGCAGAAAACAAATTATAAACTGAAAGGTAAACATAATTCTCTCTTTCTCTTCCTCTCACACACACTCATTCTCTCTCTCTTACGGTCTTTCTCACTCCCTCACTTTCTCCTTATACTTTATATGGTAACACATTTAAAAACATACAAAAATGATATAAAGCTAAGGATTTTTTTTTTTTTTCGTAAGACAATCTATCTCAAAGCTTAGGAGCTCTCTCTCTCTCTCTCTCTCTCTCTCTCTCTCTCTCTCTCTCTCTCTCTCTCTCTCTCTTCTCTCTCTCTCTCTCTCTCTCTCTCTCTCTCTCTCCTCCTCTCTCCTCTCTCTCACGAAAATGTGTCATAAGAAGGGATCAAATGCGACAAAGTAGGTAATACAAAATGACCGAAGTAAAATGTAATGATTTTAACGATACAAAGTTGCTGATCATGCTATTTTACGAGCCACGCTGAACTGCATTCCTACTTAAAGCGACTGAGAGAGTTCTAAGTTCCCTTTATCAAACCGAGGCTATTGATGGTGTTATTATTGTATCCTGAGTGTCTTGAGTGTCCATATAAGGCAGGGATGGTTTTTCTTCAGTATTCTAGGCCAAACCTTTGAATAAATTTTGGATATTTCTGCTTGAGAACGAACCTTGGCAAACCGTACAGATATAATAAGAAACAAATAAGTAAATGCAACAGATGGAAGAAAAAAAAATGAGACAACGTATAAGAGGAATAAGAGAATGGAAAAAAGTATGGCAATAGACGGGAGGATTAGGCAAAAAAACTGTGAAAAGAATAATCATAATCCTAAGTAAACGGGAAATATGTGTAAACACAGAAAAGGGAGAAAGGACAGTCACAGAAAGCATAATTTCCGTAAAGAGAAATAAATAAATAAAGAAAAACACACGAAAGGAAGAGATGAACACGAGAAACGGCAGAATAAAGAAACAAAACGACAGAAAAAATATTGATAATAAAAAAATAACGGGAACGAAATATTTTACACGTTTCCTAGAAGAAAGAGAGCTGATAATGCAAAAAAGACGAAATAAACCGCTGGCCCAGTGGGTCATTTGCCGGGATCGATCCTGGCATCTCCGGGCAGAGGTCGTTGAAGGATCAAAGATTTCTCTTCAACTTGTCTCGAGGATTCCGCCCCAGATCCCTCTTTGCTTTCTCTATTTCTCTCTCTTTCTTCCTCTTTCTCTCTCTCTCTCTCTCTCTCTCTCTCTCTCTCTCTCTCTCTCTCTCTCTCTCTCTCTCTCTCTCTCTCTCTCTCTCCTCTCTCTCTCTCTCTCTCTCTCTTTCTTTCTCTCTCTTCTTTTCTCTCTCTCTCTCTCTTCATCTCTCTCTCTCTCTCTCTCCTCTCTCTCTCTCTCTCTTCTCTCTCTCTCTCTCTTCTCTCTCTCTCTCTCTCTCTCTCTCTTCTCTCTCTCTCTCTCTCTCTCTCTCTCTCTCTCTCTCTCTCTCTCTCTCTCTCTCTCTCTCTCTCTCTCTCTCTCTCTCTCTCTCTCTCTCTTAGTGATAAACTATAGCGAAAAATAAAGGGCGATAGAACCTTTTCACAGAGTGAGAAAGAAAATAAAAAGTGAGTGAGATCAAGAAAAAATTCTGAAAATGAAAACAGAAACAAAGTGTAGAACGAATAAAGAGGGGAAAATGCGAATCTGCGTTGGCAGGAAAAGAGGAATAAGAGAGGTGAAAAGAGCACGACGATAGAAGAGAAGATAAGGGGGGGGGGAGCAAAGAAGATACGCGTGTAAAAGCTAGAAAAGAAACAGAAAGGCGTCACAGAAAGGATCATTTTCTCAGAAGAATTAAATGAGACGCGAAGAAGGAAGAGATAAATACAGAAAGAAAAGCGACAGAGCAAGAGAACAAGATATATAACGATGAAAATTTTCAGGAAAAGACAGGTAAGAAAATGAGAAAAAATATAATGCAAAAAGCACAAGTACAATGACGATACAAGGTGGGGATGCTGCACTGTGCATTTTTGCATGTGCCATAGACCTGACAGGGGCGCAACTAGGAATTTTAGATGGCAGGGTTCCAGGC